ATATTATCTTCCTAATTAAATTAATTAATATGGAATAAAATTAATTCCTATTTAAATGGAATTAAATAATAAAACATCCCACTAGAGTAATATCATTGCTCTCCCCATTTAGCCACTATTTACCAATAAAATCGAGCCTACATGATTAAATAATATTAATTCGATTGATCGATTTACCTCCCTATGTTTAAGATATAACGTCCGTTGATTAATTATATTACTGACAAAATAATCAATCAACTTCTTATTTATTTTCGAAATTAGTACCACTCAGAAACTTAACCATTATATCAGACAATCGTCTACCTGCTGGGTTTAACATAATGTACATTCCTGAGCTCATTTCGGGGACGTCATCAATCCAGCGCACTGGAACATAGTGACCATAAATAATTTATAATAGCACATCATGTAATTATTCTTACTTACCAAAATACCTCGTATGTCATCCTAATAAAATAGGAATCACTTGGTAAATCAAATAAATAAGAGATCAATATATATGCCTATTTTATATTATCTTACAGCTAAAGAGAACGCATCAATCACTGAAGGTCTAGGTTACAGAGTCGATCAGTAAGTCTCATAACCTTATCCTTCCGTGGTCCTGTTTAACACTTAACATAAGTGCTAGTGTAATTCTTCAGTCAAAGACCAACTGAATCAAAAATACACTACAGTCTTTTACCAAGAGAGGTCACTGCCTGTCTAGACTGTGAACGAATAGTTTAGCCTTATAAGGAACCGATAAGTGATCTTTCTGTTTGAAACACTTCGAACCATACAATCTCAATATAAGATATGGAGTATGATTTACATAAATAAATAAACTGCAAACATATGTACTTTGACTGAAACATGGCCAGAACAAAATAGAATCGATAGAATCTGCAAAACATAGCTTTTACAGCATATCTCTAACAATGAGCACTTGAGTCTGTCCCACCTCAACCTTATAGAATAACAGGGCATCATCAGTAAATAGTAAGTGTGATAAAGCAGGCCCATTTTTAGAGAGCTTAATGCCTGTTAGCTCACCTCTGTGCGGAGAATCAGAAATAAGTGCAGATAAACGCGCAGTGACTATAATAGGGGAAAGAGGATCCCCTTGTCTGGTTCCTTTGGAAGGATGAATCATATCAGTCAGAGCTCCATTCACAGAAAAATAGAAGGAAGTAGTAGATATATATGTATTAAAAAGTGCCTATATGTTTAAAAAAATATATAATAGATAACAACTTTTTATATAATTTTTATTAATTATATATTTGACACATGGTCTAAATTGAAAAACACTCAAATTTCTAAAATTGTAAATAGGTCTTTAAAATTTATCTAGTTCCCACAAACATCAATTGAAACCAACGCTAATTTTTTTTATCTATATTACAATACATAGTCTCCTATGCCGCCCCTAATGTCGGGCTTGCCGGCGAGCTTTGGAATTTGTGCCGACCAAGACCGCAACGCCGCCGTGAGGTGCACTCCGACGACGCCAATGAGGCCACAACCAACTGCCAAACA